ACTAGAGGGTAAAGGAACGAGATCCCAAGTCCCATTATGATGTAAAGCATCCATCTCCTCCTCCATAGCTTTCCTCCAACCTGGATTAGATAATACATCCTGTAAATGCTTAGGAATAGATATAGCAGATAATTGGAAAGTAAAACAGGAGAAGACAGGAGACAAGGTATCATATGAAACAAAATGAGAAATGAGATGATTAGTAACATAGGAACGAGTACCTTTGCGAAGAACAATAGGTAAGGAGTCTAAATTACTTGATGCACCAAGATTAGAAGGCGACAAGGAAGGCAGTACAGACACCTCAGTCAATGGGCGAGGACAACGGGAGTAGACACGGAGAGGTAAAGGAGATGGTAATACAGTGGGCAGCGGAATATCTAAAGATGAGGAAAGAGAGGGTGATATAGGAGAGGATCCAAAGTCCAGATCCAAAGGCTGAGAAGGTACTAAAAAGTATGGAACAGATTCTTCAAATGTGACATCGACACTAGTAAAATATCGGTGTAGAGAAGGACTACAGCAACGATACCCCTTCTGCATGTGTGAGTAACCAAGAAATACACATTTGGTAGCTCGAGAGTCAAGTTTGTCAAACTCAAGACCCAAATTGTGAACATAACAGACACAACCAAAAATCTTAGAAATCAGGAAAAATAAGGGCTTACCAAGAAAAATGACAAAATATGAGTTTTGCCTATTTAATACAGAGTATGGCATGCGATTGATAAGATGACAAGAAGTAAGAACAACATCACTCCAATAATATCGGAGAATATTCATCTGGAATAACAGGGCACGGGTTACTTCTAACAAATGACGGTTCTTGCGTTTAGCAACCTTATTTTGTGGAGAGGTGTAAGTACAAGAAGTCTGATGAATAATGCCAATTTTATTGAGATAAGCTGAAAAAGGATCAGATTCATATTACCGAGCATTATCGAAACGTAAAGTACGTATACGACAACCAAACTGAATTTTTATTTTCTTACGNACGTAAAGTACGTATACGACAACCAAACTGAATTTTTATTTCCTTATGAAAAGTCTCAAAGATAGAGAATAATTCAGACCGAGCTTTCATAAAAAACAACTAAGTCACACGAGAACAGTCATCCACAAATGTCACAAAATAAGGATATTTATTAGATGAAATATTCTTTATTGAACCCCATACATTAGAATGGACTAATTCAAATGGACTAAACACACGATTATGGACTTTAGACCGAAATGACACACGGTGATGCTTACTAAGTTGACAAGTTTCACAAGACAAAGATGACACATAACTAAGACTAGGAACTTGGCGCTTCAGATTCTGGAGAGAGGGATGTCCAAGACAATAATGCCATTGAATAGGAGACAACGAGATCTGTAGAGCCCGAGTAGGTGAATCAAAATCAAAGTAATATAGGCCACCAGCTTCATGCCCCATACCAATCTTCCTCTTCGTCTTGAAATCCTGAAAGACACAATAAGATGGATAAAAGGTCATAGAACAATTGAGAGAACAAATAATCTTACTAATAGAAAGTAAACTAAAAAAAAATTGAGGGACAAATAACACAGAAGATAGGGACATATCAGAACTCAAGTGAGTAGTCCCAAGACCTGAAACTTTAGAACATTAGGAGGTAATGTTGTTTCATAGAAAAGTAAGAAACAACCCGTGGTAGCAAGATCCAGTGCTAAGGCTGAGTATAGGGCAATGACACATACGACGAGTGAGTTGACTTGACTACTACACTTCCTCCAAGAAGTTGGGTTTCTAGTTCAACTTCCTTTACAGTTGTTCTGTGACAACCAGACAGCTATCCATATTGCTGTCAATCCTGTGTTTCACGAGAGTACTAAGCATATTGAGGTTGATTATCACTTTATTCGGGACAAGATAGTAGTTGGGGAGATTACAACTCCATTTGTGAAATCTGAAAATCAGCTTGCAGATATGTTTACCAAAGCATTGAGTCGTACACGTCTTACAACTATTTGTTCCAAGCTTGGATTATATGATATATATATAGTACAGCTTGAAGGGGAGTGTTAAGAATAGTAAGGTAGAATGTGCAATTTGTTAATAGTAAGAGGGTGTATGTGTAATTCTTATTATTGTAGGTTAAATATAAATACAAATGATGTATGAGAGCTTGGTTATGTTCTTAATCTCTCTATGTTTCTCTCTAAATATTGTCTCTAATAGTGTGTTAGTCCTCCAAACTTAACAATACCCAAAAGGAATCTCATGCCTCTCCCAGTCTCTCCCCACAAATCTCAACTTTCACGCCTGAAATCTCAAGCTTCACACACACACACACACACACACACTTTCTCTCTCTGTTCACTCGTTTTTCCAAATTCAAATTCGCCAGTTGTCGTTGCCCATCCAAATTCATTGCCAGTTACCGGTGCCAGGTAAATTCAGACCTTCACTTAATTTTGCCTCTCTCTCTCTGTGCTTCTTTTGTCTTCACTGCTCATTCTAGACGCACAACATACACATCGCACAATGCTTATAAGATGTTTGATCAAATGCCACAGAGGTGATGACCAACTCTCTACACAAACTCATCACATACACACAGCACGCATTCACACACGCCACACAACCCATACACACACAGACACACTCAGTGCACACCTACAACATGCTCATTCTTTTGGTTTCTTTATTAATGGTTTAAACATTCCTTTTGAAAACTAGCATTTCGTTGTGTTATTGGTTGTTTTTTAATGGTTTATAACTAGGCCAAAGCTCGAGGTTAAGACCCGAATCACCTCATTGGGCTTGGTTAGGAACTACATCAGCTATACCATCAGTCTCCTAAAGTTACTCTATTCTAATCTTTCAATTCATTTTTTGTTGATTGATATGATTTTTATGGGTATAATGGCTTGAATTTTTTGTTTACTACCTTTACTTTAGGCATGAACATAAGGTGTTTGACAAAATGTTTGTGAGAAAAAGAACGTAGCTTGATATGAAACAATCTTACAGTCTCTGTATTTAACAGTATAGGATTTTTTTTTTTTGTTGCCTATGGAGGATCAAGGCTGCTAGTGCATTTCTTCTTGGAGTAAAGTAGGTTGCATAAATAGGGAGGTTTGTATCATGGTGTCATCTAAAAGTTGCCATAGATGCTTTTACTGGGGTTTTATCTATGTTCTTTTTTTTTTTTTTTCAAGTTTGGTTTTATCTATGTGCTACAATTATGTTTGATTTGATGTAGTAATTCGGTTGCATTTTGTGTTTGGTGTGGAAGTTTTTTTTTTTTGGTTATTTGAATTAAATGGGTGGTGTGTATGTGTTTGTGTTTGTGTTTGTGTTTGCGTGTGTTTTGGTTTTCTTTATTAGGCCCTCTTTTTTTGGTCATTCTATAGTACATCATTGTGGGTTTATATCAGTGGTTTATACTTAATTGTTAACTACTTAAATTGCCACTTAACCCATTTTGCATGTCAAGTTACAATTATGTAGTGTTTGAGGTTTATCTTAGTGAGGAGTGTTCATCTCTATGTCAATATGTTTGTGTGTGTCTCTGTCTGCGAGAGGGTGTGGGTAATCAACCTTTCTTGACCTACTATTACAGTAAATATACAAGCAACATGTTTGTATGTGTGGGTTGCCTTTCCTTGAATGTTGTCAACTTTCTATGATACGAGGTTGAGATTTCTAAGGGAGAGTTTGCTAATTTGTTGACTTTTCAGGGGACGGGTTCTCTTGGGGCTGTCCATACTATGTGGCACCAGAGGTTCTAAAGTTCATACTGAAGAGTTAGTTCACTATGTTGTAGATATTGTGGGTCTGTTTGCTTCACTTTAGTTTCTTTTAATTGCATGTGTTACGCTAATTTGCATTGCATTGATCAATGGGTTTTGTTGCAAGTTTTAGTGCAATGGTTTAACTAAATGCAAAGTCTTGGTGGTTCATTTCAAAGATTTGAGGTGAGTCTCTCTCTCACACTCATGATTTGGGGGTTTTTTTTTTTTTTTTTGTATCTGTTTTTATATTGTGTGAGTTTTGATGCATTTTAGATTGTTTTGATTTGATTTGGTATCAATTAATTGATTAAAGTGGAGTAGTGTGGGTTTGCTTTGATTTGTTGAAATGATTTAAGCAAATTTTATACTATCCTTGGAGGAATGTGGGTTTGCTTGGATTAGTTGTTGTGATTCAAGAATATTGTAAGCCCTTTCTAGAAATAGCATAACCGTGGTTAGTATGTGGTAAAAATCATTCTAAGTGGTCACATGTGGTGAGATAGGATGACTATTCCTACACATGCATTTTAGTTTGTTGTTTGAGTTTTGAGTTCGAAAACAAATGTGGCACTTTACAATAATATTCATTATTGTTACTTTTTGTGGCAACCGTGTTTATTATTGTAATTTCCTATATTGGTAGACATTTCTCCTTATTGTCTCCGGTTGTTCCATTTGATTCTTTTGAAGCTGGTTTAAATAAATCTAAATATTATTTTGTGATGTTATTAGTGTTTTTTTTTACTCTGTGTATTTGTATATATTAATACACATCACTCCTTCTACATAAGAGTATTTTTAAATAGTATTTACTCTAATGCCAATTTTTTTGTGTTACGCAAGTGCTTTCGGGCGCGGTCATTAAATAGTTTGTATGTATAGGAGCTCATTAAAGTTGAATTGAGCCTATTTTAACTAAATTGCACATTACTTGAATTTGATTTGCTTCTAAGACAAACTTAAAAATACAAGTGGGACCCAATTGAATAATTTGAAAAAGGAGAAAGTATTTTTTTAATGGTGTGATGATGTGTCAAATTTCCATTGGCCACTCGGACACATTGAATTTATCGGAACAGAATGTTGAAAATGATTGAAAGTGAAATAAAATAAAATATATTTTCATGTATATTTTCAACTATTGCCCTGTTCAGCTCGTCAATATTCTCTTTCGTCTTGGATGCTCACCACTACCACACCGCACCACAACCACTGAATCACCACTCCCCACCCCCAACATGTCAAAACTACACCTCCTCCTCAGTCTACTCAGCCTCCTCTCCCTCACCACCGCTGAGATCAAGACCGTTAATATCATTTCCGATACCCGTCCAATGATCATCTTCCATAAATTTGGCTTCACCCACGCCGGCGCCTCTCTATTTCCCTCTCCACCGTCTTCGCCTACGTCTCTGTCAGCCCCTCTTTCTCCTCCCCCGACCCATCTTGCCTCGCCTTCTTTCTCCTTTTCCAAACATTCCTACAACCAATTCCTACTCGAACTCATGCACAAACCCAGCTTCTGCATCATTGACTCCAAATTCATCCACTTCCCTTTCACTTTCCGCGAACTCTCATCCCCTTCTCACTCTTCCTTCAATCGATCCTACCTCGTCACCATCCCCAATGAATACTCCTCCTTTGCCAATTACGTCCTTGAATTACAAGTCACCATGGACGTCCGTACAGAGCTCTACAATCCCGATTCCAGCGCCTCCAAGGAATATCTCTCCGCCAGGTTGACATAGCTCCCCTCTGTTTATCTCCTTTTCTACCTCATATATTCATGTTTTCTCGGGTTTTGGTTGTACCACTGTTACCATACCATAAGATCAGTACATCGGATACATTTGCTCATGACCCTATTGATTATAACACAAACTCTTAATTTAAAAAGTGTGGCCGAGTATAAACATTATGTTAAGGTAACGCGGACACCCCAAGGGTGGAATGTACTTTTCTACGCATTTCGTTTGATTAGGGTTCCACTTTTGTCTCCGCTGATTGTGTTGATTGGTACCGAGTGGTCGTTTTTGGAACCCTCTTTGCAAGGACAAGGAGGGAAGAGGGTGTTGATCACAGTAGTGATTCCACTACAGGTTTTGGGCAGTATGGGTTCTAAGAAATTTTAATAATTCGTATATGAATTTAAAACACTTAAATTATAAAATTTAGAACATACCCGTATGAGCCATGATATTCGATCTCAAAATTTATTTTGCTGAAGGGCAAGGTCTTCTTCGCCTTCTTCAAAACAATAGGCGGCTCTCAATAGAACAAGTCAAATGAGAGTTATTAAATGGAGAGGGGAGCTAGTCTGCTATTTATAATAAATCAAATGAGATTTTCCATTACGACCCATAATTAGATTAAGACATACACTTAATCGCATCAACCACATCAATTAAAAAGATATAAATAAACTCATTAAAATAGATTACTTAATAATATTGGGTTCATCTCATTTGACCACAAATTCAGCTCGTTTTTTACAAACCCAAAATTAACTATCAATTAATGAAAGTCCAATATAGAAAAATTCTAACATTCTCCCACTTGGACAACATTAATTGTAGAACCAATCAATTATTAAAATAATAATCCAACTAACATGGATCAAGATGCGGTAATGTAATAAAAAAATAACATCTCAATATGTGATCTGATAAACATGTTATTTTCATTGTCAACCCTTCAAATAATTTCTATTTAACAACATGCTTCAACAATAAGCTAAAAAAATTTATTAGTTCCAACAATAAGTTAGTATGTCTTCAAACTTAAAATCTCAATATTTTTTCAAATGACATAAATAGAGATATACCCAATTGGCAAAACAGTCATACTTAATACATACACTAAGCCTTAAAATTTTGTATAAAATGACATATTATAAATGTGCACACATATAACATAGCAAGAATATCATGTTAACAATAAGGATATTCATCCAAATATTTATCATTCATCAAATATATGTATCTCAACCATAATGAATATCAAATATCACTTAAATAAACTCACACTAACCAAGTATATCAAAAAACCCCCAAAATGTCCATGTTGTCAACATATTTTTTAAAAGTTATAGGTCTCAGCCCCTTGATTAAAGGATCAGCAAACATTGATTTTTTACCAATATATTCGATCACAATGTCACATTTATTCACAAAATCCCTAACATAAAGATATTTAATTTCTATATGTTTAGACCCACTAGAATGTTTGTTATTTTTTGAGAAGAACGCAGTTGCACTATAATCACAATAAATTGTTAGTAGTCTAGAGATAGAATCAACAATCATAATTTCTGAAATAAAATTCCGTAACCATATAGCTTGTGTTACATCTTCATAACAAGCTACAAATTCAGCTTGCATATCGGAAGAAGCTATGAGAGTTTGTTTAACACTCGTCCATGCTATTACTCCTTCAACTAACATGAAAAAATATCCTGAAGTAGATTTTAAATCATCCAGACACCTAGGAAAATATGAACCTAAGTAATCAATCACCTCAAGACTATCAACTCTCCTATAAATAAATATGTAATTTTGTGTTCTTTTCAAGTATCTCATAACTTTCTTAGCTGACACTCAATGATCTAATCTTAGTTTGGAAAGATATCTGCCAAGAGCATTAACTGCAAAAGCAATGTCAAGTCTGGTACAAACCTATGCATACATTAAACTACCAACAACACTTGCATTAGGCATATTCTTTATAGACTCCTCCTCGAGATCATTCTCGGAGCATTGACTTATACTGAATTTATCAACTTTCACAACAAGTACATCCCCAAACTTATAATTACGCATATTAAATCTTTCAAACAGACGTTCCATATATGCCCTTTGAGAAAATCCTAACACGACTCCTATCTCAATGAATCTAAATTCCTAGCACAAAAGATGCTTCCTTCAGATTTTTCATGTCAAATATTTTGCAAAACAATTGCTTACTCTCATGACATAAACTCAAATCATTACTTGCAAGAAAAATATCATTAACATAAAGAACAAGAAAAATAAATTTGCTCCCACTGACCTTAAGATATATGCATTGATCCATCTTGTTCTCAACAAAACCAAAAGAACTTACTATATCATCAAATTTTAAGTACCACTGACGAGAAGCCTGTTTAAGACTATAGATAGATTTCTTCAACTTGAGCATAGATTGTTCTTTCTCATTCTCCTTAAAACCCTCAGGCTGCATCATGCTCGTCATTCAAGAAAGTTGTCTTCATATCCATCTGGTAAAGTTTTAGATCAAAACAAACCATTAATGCCATGATGATTCTTAAAGAATCTTTAGTAGAGACAGGTGAGAAAATTTCATTGAAATTTATACTTTCCCTTTGGCTATACCCTTTCGCTACCAATCTATTCTTAAATCTTTCATTCTTACATTTGGAGTTTATCTTAGTTTTAAACACTCATTCGCAGCCAATGAGTTTATATCGATCCCACATTTCATTGTGTGTCATAGAATGCATCTCATCTTTCATGACACCTACTCACACATCAGACTGATAACAAGTAATAGCATCATGGTATGTTATAGGATCAACAATATCACTAACATCATAATCACTTTCTCAAAGGTATACATAATATTCATCAGAAATAAAAAGTATCTTTGGTCTTGTAGACCTTCTCAAGGAAATTTCAGTAGTAGGTTCTAAAGGCTGAAGAGCCTCAATAGGAATAGAAAGGTCAATTGCAAGAACAAGAGGATCAACAACTGAAAGCAGACAAATTAACAATAAGAGCATGTATAATATTTTCTTGCACAACAGGTAAAAGAATAGAAACAAATTTATCTTGCTCATGCTCATTAATAGGCTACGAGCAACCAACATTTGCAACATCAAATTTTAGAAATTTTGTTGTTAAAGGCCCAACAATTTTAGTTCCATGTGTATAGAGGTGTCCAAGGGCCGGGTTACCCATGAGTCTCATTATCCAGCCCAAAAAAAAAATAGGACCAAAGCTCGATAGGCCCAATAGCTGGCCTGCCAGAGCTCGAGCCCAATATTTTTTAAGAAAGGGCTTGAGTTTACCCTTAAACCCACTACCTGGCCCGAAACTGAAGCCCTCGCCTAATAACCCACCCACATACCCGGCCCAATAACCCGCCCACATAGCCGAAAGTCATACCCGCCCATATATTTTTATGTTAATATGTGTGTGATTGTGTGAGAGGTGGAGACTTTAATAGTAGGTGAGACTTGAATGGTAAGTGGTAGATGAGACGTGAGACTTGAATTTGGTGAGTGAGACTTGAATTTGGTAGATGAGTTAAAGTTCAAATTTTTTCTAAGACTTAGAATGTGAGTCTGAGACTTTGAATTGGTCTGCTGGTCTGACTGTCTCAGACTCAATGGACAGTGGTCATGTATTGTTTTTTCAATCTGAGACAGATAGTCATAAATTTATAAATTTCAGTCTTTTTAGTCTGTCAGCATCAGGACAGTCATAAATTTATCAATTTTATTTGAGTCAATGGTTATAAATAAATAATTATTTTTTAATGTATAATTTATAAATAAACGATTAATTTCATTTCAACTCACTTAGTCATTTGCTCACATTTCATTACAAAACAAAACTCTCATTCTCTGAACTCTCGAGTCTCATCAGTTCTGAACTCACAAGTAACAACTCTCAAGTGTTTTGAAGTCTCAAAATTGAGCTTTCAGCTATCTCAAAGACTTAAGATTGTCAAGTAGTCTCATTTGGTGAAATTTTTTTTTTTTACGTATTTTAAGTATTTATTTTATTTTTATAATTTAATTTATGTAATGACTTCATCTTATTCNTGGTCTGACTGTCTCAGACTCAATGGACAGTGGTCATGTATTGTTTTTTCAATCTATGAGACAGATAGCCATAAATTTATAAATTTCAGTCTTTTTAGTCTGTCAGCATCTGAGACAGGACAGTCATAAATTTATCAATTTTATTTGAGTCAATGATTATAAATAAACAATTACTTTTTAATGTATAATTTATAAATAAACGACTAATTTCATTTCAACTCACGTAGTCATTTGCTCACATTTCATTACAAAACAAAACTCTCATTCTCTGAACTCTCGAGTCTCATCAGTTCTGAACTCACAAGTAACAACTCTCAAGTGTTTTGAAGTCTCAAAATCGAGCTTTCAGCTATCTCAAAGACTTAAGATTGTCAAGTAGTCTCATTTGGTGAAATTTTTTTTTTTACGTAATTTAAGTATTTATTTTATTTTTATAATTTAATTTATGTAATGACTTCATCTTATTCACAAAATATTTTTTATAACGAAAATTTTTAGTCGAATAATGATAATAAGAACATCGATGAAGGCGAATGGAATGATCCACTTTCAACGCCTGAGATAAATTCTACTAGAAATGTATTATCTAATAAAAGACAAAAGTTCAAGGCTTGGGATCACTTTAAAAAAAATCAAAATTACGAATTCTAATAGAGTCATTACATCAGAAAAGACTATATGTAATTATTGTAAAAAAAATTTTGTTGAAGGCTTTAATAATGGAACTAGTCACTTAACTAGACACCTAAAGACATGTTTATTAAAAGGTCAAACTGATATTAGACAAACAATGTTATCACAATTTACTAGCACTGGTACACTAAGCACTTTTAGTTATGAACTTGAATCTGCTAGAAAAACAATTGTTAGATGAATTGCTGTAAGAAATCTTCCATTTGTTCTTGTAGGCGATGTTGAGTTTGAAAGAATGTTACAAAGTGATTTTAATCTTTTTTTCCGAAAGTTTTCTAGTCAAACATGTCAAAGAGATGTTATTAAATATTATATACAAGAAAAAATAATTTAATTACTTATTTTGATAATCTTAAAAGTAAAAATTATTTGATTTCTGATATTTGGACTTCTTGCCAATAATTAGAATATTTATGTATAACTACTCATTTTATTGATGATAATTGGGTTATGCAAAAAATAATTATTACTTTTACAAAGATTGAAGATAATCATAGTACACAAGTTATTTTTGAAATTATTTATAATCAGTTACAAATTTATTGTATTCAATACCAGATTTTTACTATTACTATAGATAATGTAAAAAATAATAGTGGGGTTGTAAGTCATTTA